CTGGAGAATTCTGGAGAATTCTGGAGAAATTTGCTGGAGAATTCTGGAGAAAATTGCTGGAGAACGCTGGAGAATTCTGGAGAAAATTGCTGGAGAACGCTGGAGAAAATTCTGAAGAATTGCTGGAGAATTCTCCAATTTTTTCATAATTTCTCTAGTCTTATCCAGTCGTCTCAAGTTTTCTGTAAAATTTATTCAGTTTTCTTTACTTTTATTTAAAATTTCTTTATTCTTCTCCAGTATTTCTGTAGTCAGTCTTTTTCACTTTTCTTTAGTTTTCTACACAGCATTTCTTTAGTATTTTTCCAGAATCTTTTCGAAATTTTTTCCCGTGTCAAATGTTGTATGCTTTCATGAGTTTATCTTTTTCGATAGAAGCATATCTATTTTCTGAACTGGTTTCCGGTGATGCAAACATGTATGCAGAAGCAAATATAACTTTTCGTTTCGTTGTTGTCTTGTTCCTTCTACCTGAAGCCGACGGCTTGCAACGTTCCCAAGAGTATGTCACCCATCCTCAAATACTAATCGCGCCCGAACGAGAATCGGTATATCCAGCACGGATGGCATTATTATTAGTATTATTATTATTTTTTATCCCAAAAAAATTTTTTTTTTATGTTTCTGTGCGTGTGTGATAAAAAAAAAAAATTATTTTCCCCCGAAAAAAAAATGTTTACTTTTATTTTTTTCCTTTTCATCAAACATACTAATCGCATTAGGCAAAATCATAAAAACCTTTTTTATTTTGTGAAATAAAAAAAAAAGAAGAAAAATTCGTTTAATTGTATTAAATCGTTAATTGTTTCCATTGCTGTTGCTTTTGCTGTCGTCTCTGACACTTCCCCTCAAAAAAAAAAAAAGATTCAACGGCAAAAAGAAGTTAAAAAAATTTTTTTTGTTTTGTTTCCTATTAACGAAAAAAAAAACTTTGCGTGTTTTTTTTTCTTACCTCAAAACAAAACCAAAATAAAAAGAAAAAATTAAACTTCACCGAATAAAGAGTAAGAAAGAAAGAGAGAGAGAGAGAGAGAATATAAACGGAAGAAACGTTTGAGTAGAAAAAAATTTTTTTTTAATCTTTCAAAAAATAATTCACGTGTCGTTTTATTATGCGGTTAGTTAAACAACAAACGAAAAACACGTACGCACGCGAAAATCGTCGTGTCAGAAGACTCATCGAAAAGGTTAACAGAGTTCAATGAGGAAAAAAAAAAAAAAAAAATTTTTTTTATTTTATTCCCAATTAGTATTCAAAGCCAAATGTGAAGAAAATGGCAATTTAAAAATATATTTGCAAGTTCAAAAAAAGGATTGACAAGAGGGGAAGTGGGAGGGTAAAAAGAGAGATTTAAAGGGCGGAGGAGGGGGAGGAGAGAAGGAGGAGGAGGGACTAAAAGGGGAAAAAAGGGACCGAGTGTGGGTGGGGAATCGTGCGAAAAACGAAATCGACGGATCAATTTTCCATTTTTTTTATTTTATTTTATTTTATTTTCTCTTTTTTTTTTCACTTTCACACACACACAGAGAGAGAGAGAAAGAGAGAGGAAGAGAGAGAGAGAGAGAGAGAGAAACTCCTTTGAAATATTTTTTTTTTCCATTGAAAACATAATAACGAGAAGAAAAAAAAAACAAAAAAAAAAGAGAGAACGAACACGATTATGATGATGATGATAATAATAATATTTCGAATAAGAATAAAAATAAAAAATTTTCAAAATTTTATTTTTTGACAGCGGGCCCGAAAAAAAAAAAACAAAAAAGCAGAAGACAACAACTTTTTTTTTTTTTTTTAAATTTTAAAAAACATAAAAACTTGACAATAAATTGTTTGTAATCATAACAAACAAAAAACAAACTCATGTTTCATATTTATTTATTTTTATTTTATTCCCCCCCCTCCTTTTTCTTATTTCTCCTCTTCCTCCTTTTTTTTCCTTTTTTCCTTTTGAAAAAGGAAAATAAAGAAGGGGGAAGGGAATAAGAAAATTTATAACTTTTTGTTTTTTTTTTTACGGCAAAAAAAAAAAAAGAAAAATAAAATTATTTGTAACATTTAAATAAACTCGAACCATTTTAAAAAGGAAAAAAAAACATAAAAGGAAAAATGGAAAAATGACTCTTTAAAATTCATAGAAAAAAAAAAAAAAATTTTTTTTTTTTTTTATAGTTAACAATGGAAAATTTTCCCTTCCTTTTTAGTCAATGGAAACAAAAAAAAAATTCATAAGTGAAATAAAAATAAAAAAAAAACTTAATTGTTTACTTAAAAAAAAAAAAAGAAAATTTTCTATTCGAAAATCCAACCGTTTGACGTCCATTTTGTTTTTTTTTTTTTTTTTTTTATTCTTCTGGAAAAAACTTCCATGAGAAATAAATAATAATAATAATAATAATAATGAGAAAATTAAAAAAAAAAAAATTTTCCAATTCTAATAATAATACACGCACGTGTTTCTAAAATCTTGAAAAATAATAATAATAATAATAGTAATAATAACTATAGCAATTATAATAATAATAATAATAATAATAATAATAATAATAATAATAATAATAATAAATAAATCACGATGTTAAATTATAGAATTTACTCCTTATTCGAATCGACCCCCCTCTTTCGCCTCGGGCCTTGTTTCCCCGCTTCGGTCTTCCCATTTCCTTTCCCGTTTTTCCTTCTTCCCTTCCCCCACCCCCCCCAAAGTTTACCCACCCGCCTACTTTTTCTACAAAATTATTATGTCGCGTGTTTTTTTTATTTGTCACGTTCCAGCAATTTATCTGGATAAACCACTTTTCCTCTTATTTTTTTTTTTCCTCCAAATACAAACAAGAATAAAACAAAAAAAAAATTTTTCCTTTTTCTTATTTTTTTATTTATTATTATTATTATTTTGTGTTTGATTTTCGTTTTTTGTTTTTAACCTTGAAAATAAAAATGTTTCCCCCTTCCCCCTACAAAATCACATTTAATTTAACCGTCGGAAACGTAATAAATATATGTTATCCGATAAAACTACACGTATATTAATTGTTTCCGGTTTGATTTTCAAATGTAAACGTGAATTCTGATGACACGTCAAAGCGGGAAATCAACACGGTACACATTCTATGTTAAATCAAATCGATTTTTTTTTTCCCCATCCGGAGTTTTTTTCTCCGGAAAAAAAAAGCTGGAGAAAAAAACTGGAGAAAAAAAAACGATAGCAACATCATCATCATTATTATTATTATTATTATTATTATTATTATTATTATTATTATTATTATTACCATCTAATGTATTTCGTGGATACCTTAATGATGTCGCATTTAAAAAAAAAAAAAAAAATGGAAAAAATAATTTTTTTTTACCTTTTTATATCATTAAAATGAAACATATATACATATAATAAAAAGCATGTGACATTTAAAAATGGCGGTAAATAATAAGAGTACAAAAAAAAAAAAAAAATTGTTGTTGTTGTAGGAGAATAATAATAATAATAATAATAAATTTCTATGGTAACGCTAATCGGCTCAATTAAAAAGTTATTCAGATTTTTTTAGTTTTACTTATTTATTTATTTTTAATGTTAAAAAAAAACATACCGTTAAAATTGGCGTTAAAAAAAAAAATGTCATAGAATAAATAAACTTTTATCTCTTTCCTTTACTTTTTCTCTCCTGTCGCCCTTCCCTCCCCCTCCTCGATTCGATTTAATAATAATAATAAAATTTAATTACGAAAATGGAAAAAAACATAAAAAAAAATTACAAACGGGTAAAAGTTTTGGATGAGAAAAAAAATGATAAGAAGGAAAATTATTATTGATAACAACTGGAAGTAAAATTATTAGGGATGACGCGACGACGCGACATTAAAATGACCTGGAGAAAAAAATTTTTTTTTTTTTTTTTTTGGAAAATATAAAAAATCAAAGCGATGACAATTTTGTTTAACAAAAAAAAACTGCATTTTATGGAAAATTCGTTAAAAAAAAAGATTTTTGCTTGTTTGTTTGTTTGTTTTCCAGTAAAAAACAATGTTATGGTTTTAAAAGATGAAAATGTTTTTATTTTCGTAATTAAAAAAAAAATCCATTTTTATTCTCTCTTCTTTATTATTTTGTTTACGTATTTGTCTGAAAATTTTTCTTCATTTTATCAAAAGTTTTTTTTTTTTCATGAAAAATTTTAGCAGAAGAAAAACAAAACAAAAACAGTTTATCGGTATAATCACAAAAAATAATTTAAATAAATTAAAAAAGTTTAACCGACCTCCTCTTCTTCTTCCTATCCCTCGTGTACATTTAATCGTAATAATAAAAAATTTTATTTAAAAAAAAATGGCGCCAAAATTTTAAATGAAAAAAAAAATTTCAAAAAAATGCATTCGGATTTCTTCCTCTCTTATCACGATTTCATTTATAAATTTCAAATATTTTCATGTAATTCATTTTACTGATAACGCATATAAATTTAAATTTTATTTTATTTTCGTCACTTCCGGCTTTTTAATATTAATTTCCTTTTTCCATTTTCTTTTTTTCTAATGTGTTTACATTTGTTTTCTTCTCGGTTCATTTTCTTTTAGCGTGGCGTGACCGAAAGGTTTATAACGTTTTTCCCAAATATCATTCAGACAACCAACAAACAACAACAACAACAACAAACTTTATTATTATTATTATTAACGTTATCATTTATTTGGAAAAAAAAAAAAAAAAAAACTTTTTCCCGGTCCTAAAATATGCGGCTTTTAGTTTGTTTTTTGTAGTCGTAGGTTCGTAGGTTTTTCATTTTTTGTTTTTTGTTTGTTTTAATTAATAAAATTTGTTTAATGGATTTTAAATTTGTTTACCGCCCGACGTAAATTTTACTTCTGCCTACGAATTTTTTTACTTTTTATCCCTCCCCCACGTCTTCCCGCCCCCGCTTAACGTGTTCATGATGTACTTTTTCATACGATGAAGATAGGGAGGTCTGTTGACTTACCCGGATGTGGCTTGTTGATCGAA